TCTAGCTCTTTGATTTTTATGATTTATGTATTTGGCATTTCTAACTCTCACAATTCTTAGTAATTGACAACTATATTTATAATTTTTATAAGTAATAGCTTAATGGCTACAGAAAATTTACAGTAAGATTTTAGAGTGTTAAAAAAGAAATTCTGTCTTTAGTTTTTCATTTTCCAGAACCTTTGCAGTGCTCATCTGAATGCACTGCAAATCTAAATCTTAAATATTATTTATAATGGTAGGTCGTAAACAGTGCAAAGAAATCACAAAGTAAATTTTAGTGTTTTTCTCTTTAGGCTTACAGCCAAACAATTCAATAGACCACATTCTTAGGGTAGACCAAGCCTAATTTTTCTTCTAAGTATAAAACACTCCCTTCATTGTTTAACACCTCATTGCAACTGACATCTCCCCTACAGTTTGAGTCAGCTGGAGGCTTTGCTGTGTAATTAATGCATAATTGAAACCTCCTCCACACAATTATAGTACTGGCTGTACCGCATAGCTCATTTTGGCTTAGATTCTATTTGGTTTCATGTAAAATTAAGGATTCTTCCATTTTTTTAGCCCTTCAGTAAATAAATGAAACAAAAACAAAGCCCACTTTCACCTTTAATATCTGTAAATAACAAAATTAACGTTATGTTATGAGAGTATTAAAAAGTACATTTTACATTTATAAATGTGATCCTGAGAGAAGTTTTATTAGGACTGTAAGTTTATTTAAAATAAAATGATTGGATGACACTCTTGATTTTAGACATTAAGGTAGCCTCAGGACTGAGTTTAAGAGGGGAGAGACTGTACATAGAGAGTGCTTCAAAGACATGCTTAGGGTTCCCCTTGCATTAGTCAAATACTGTGGAGTACATTCATGTGAGAAAACTGCTTGAGCCCTAGGGAAGAAGCAGGCAGAACAATTACTGGAGTTTACACTGGACCATGAATAGTTCATGTTCCAAACAGCCACAGGTAATGCAAAAAGATTCAGCCACTTTGCAAAACAACATAGAAGTTTTTAATTTTTTGCTCATTACATTGAAGATATTATTGCAGTATCTTCTAGCGTCCTTTATTGATGATAGATTAGCTGTTAGTGTGATAATCCTGTGAAGGAAATCTGCTTTACCTAGTTATTTTAAAGAACATTTTAGTTTTATCTGCTCTACCTAGATACAGATTTCTTATATATCCCACTTTGGGATTCATTAAAATTAAATGTATGGATTTGCGTTTTTCATCATTTATGAATCTTGACCCTTATCTCTTTAAATAATACCTCAGTGTTGCCCCCTCCCCTTTTTCCCCTTCTCTTTTTAGGACTTTCTCAATTTTAATGTTCTGTTCATTTAGTTTTCTTTCAAATTTTTGTCTTTTTTAAAATAAATTTTTCTCCTGTACATATTTGCATGCTTGTTTTATAAGCTTTGATCTTTGATAATTGCATCTGACGTCCCTAGTTACCTTTTCTTTTGACTGTTGTTTAATTCATGATACCTCTCATTTCCTTGCATGTTTAGTTTTTTTAAAAGTACATTTAATGTTTTGATTTCATTTACTCATTTACGGTTCATTTTCCTTGGAATTTTTTTCTGTGGAAATTCTTTGAGTTCCAAATTGAAGGTGGGGTGGGTGGCAGGGGTGGAGGAGACTCCAGGGTAGGTTTGCATATGTGTTTGCAAAGTACTTGGGAGCAATGCCAGTATTGTATCACTTTAAATTAAATTTTCAGTTTGAGGGTTTTTAACATCGAGACATTGTTGCTTTTTCTTGTCTTTTCACATTTCAACTTCTTTAGGAAAAAGGAAAACTGTATTTTTAACCTGGGAAGTATTCATAAACTTGCTCTGTTTTAAAAATAACATACAGTTTGGAACTTACTTAGCTATTCAACTATTTGTGTTTTATTCTTTGACAATACTAATATAGTTATTTCAGTAGAATTGTACCAGTTTAGGTAGTAATGACTTTAGTCATATCACCCACACTCCTTCACTCATGGAATGTAATGTGGAATAAATAAACTGCAAATATTGGATGTGCCAGTGGACATCATATTTTTCCAAATTACATATATTCATCTATCGCATCAGTTGTGCAGTTCTTTTTTTTTTTTTTTAATGTTTTTATTTATTTCTGAGAGAGAAAGAGAGACAGCGTGAGCAGGGGAGGGGCAGAGAGAGAGGGAGACACAGAATCTGAAGCAGGCTCCAGGCTCTGAGCCGTCAGCAGAGAGCCCAATGTGGGGCTCGAACCCAGGAACCGTGAGATCATGACCCAAGCCGAAGTCAGACGCTTAACCAACTGAGCCACCCAGGCGCCCCCAGTTGTGCAGTTCTGATTGTATTTGTTAGAATACTTTAAGTTGTAAGTTATAAATATCAATTTGTAGTAGTGTTATCAAAAAATAACTTATTTGGCTCAATCAGTTATTGTGTTCGGGGTGGTTAATTCCTGCTTCAGATTCAAGGAAGGACCAATTTACAATTTGGAGATTTGATTTTCCTTGCAGTTGCCAGGGTGTGGATAAGAGCTAGGGGGACAGGAAAGAATGGGCAGTGGGTTTATTTCTAGTTTACCATTATACTGAACTTAACCCCTGAGAGTCCTGCCTTTATGAAAGAAGGAACTTCTGTTAGGTTCCCTCCCTTAAGCAGAATTTGACCTTTATTTCCTATTCCAGTGAAATATAATAAAAGAGTTTGAGCTTAATTAGTTTGCCAGTGCCTTCTAAGAACAGAAGTCTCCATTGTTATTCTAACTTTTAAGTTTAGGAGAGTAGGTTGGAAGATCTATCCTTATGTTAATACATGAAACCAAGGCTGAAAAGCATTTTGAAATACAGCTGCATTTTTCTATAGAGAAGGCTGCTATTCTAAAGAAAGACCTAGCTATATTCAGAGATTAAAAATACTAGAGCCATGTAAAAATTGTAGGGCATTAATTGTAGGATGTTAATTAAAGAACCATGTGAATACTCTGAACCTCAATAAAACTTTCATCAACAAATAAGTTAACATGCAAATGCTGTGTAACTCCTTCCTTATGCTTTAGAAGTTGAATTAGGTGTTTAACAGACATTAAAGTTGGCTATTACAGATCACTCATTTGTATATATAATTCATTAAAGTTTAGAAGTAATTGTATACTTTTATAACATTTAAAATATCAAAAGCTAGAAAAGAGATGCAGTCTTATATTTAAGAATGTAAACATTTTAATCCCATCTGGATATAGAGGATTGAAATAAAGCATCTTTGTCTTGCCAGTGAGAGCACTTTGTTCTTTGTATCTGGAACATAAGCTTCAAGAGGGCAGGGACTGTGTTTTGTACAACTATGTGTATTGTGTAACTTAGCACAGTGTACTACTATTTGCTTATGTTTTTTGTTGTAGCTTTATATTAAAATTGTTTCCAAGTGCATATTTATTAATTTTAATGTGTTTATTCAAAGTGTTAGGGTTATATTTGGCATTTCCTTTTTTTAAAAAGATGTTTATTTTTTGAGTATGCACTCAGATGGGAAAGGAGCAGAGAAAAGGGGACAGAGGTTCCAAAAGCAGGCTCTGCACTGTTATCAGTGAGCCCAATGTGGGGCCCCAACTCATGAACCACAAGATCATGAACTGAGCCAAAGTCACCAACTGAGCCACCCAGAAGCCCCTATATTTGGCATTTTCTAAGGGGGCTTGAATTATAAATAAACAGAATCCATAGGGAGTAAAATGATTGTCTGGAGGAAATTTTTATTTTATTTTATTTCATTTTTTAATGTTTTTTTTTTTTAAATTTATTTCTGAGAGAGAGAGAGAGAGAGAGAGCCAGAGAAAGAGGGAGACACAGAATCTGAAGCAGGCTTCAGGCTCTGAGCTATCTGAGAGCACAGAGCCCGACATGGGACCCGAATCCACAAACTGCGAGATCGCGATCTGAGCTGAAGTGGGACGCTGAACTGACTAAGCCACCCAGGCGGCCCTGGAGGAAATTTTTAAATGACATGGAAATCTTAACCTTTCCATTAGATTCTGACATGGATATGAAGATAGCTCAGAAATGAAGCTCAGTTTATTACAATCACCGTCTCCTAAAAACCTTCATGAGTACAAGACTAGTTTTACTAATGATGAATCCAACATGTGCTACTGAAAATGTTCAAAGGACTTTGCCAAGTGCAAGCTCTAATGCATCCCTTCGCCCCCTTTTATCAGTCTTAAACTTTAGAAGCAGAATGATTGCATTGCCTCCATTTAATTGGTGGTGCCAGACCATAGCATATCTTATTAGAGTGTGTATTAGGAGTATGCAGTTTAAAAAAAAAGACTGCTTTATGAATACAACAATCTAGAGGTGGCAACAGCTCTGCAGATTGCTAAATTATTTCTGAGAATATCTGTTGATGGTACAATAGAGAATTGAGTCACATGGTTAGGTTGGTATTTTACTAAATTACTAGTAGTATTTACCAAGATATACAATTAGCATATACTTATTTAATTTCTTCCTTAAAAATTTACTGAACAACTTTGAAATTAGATGGCATTTTTATAATTTTGCTTAGTCATTATCCATGAAAAGGGGTATTTTGTGAAGCTTTTGGATATACTAAGTCACCTTTCTGGGAGGAAAAACCACATCTTATTTCAAGTGACCTTTTGATTTATAATAAAATATCCTTCTAATAGCATTTGAAAAATCAAGGATTAGCATGGTCTTTTATGTAATTTGGGAGAATGCTAAGTGGTAGATGAAAGAATATAAATTGTGTCTCTGTGTGAGCCAAGTTGTATTAACTAAGTGAGATGAGTACTATTTGGCATGGAAAGAAAGATTATATTCTCTGTACCTTGTAATCTGTACATGCAGAGCAGCTTCATTTAAAAAATAAAAGTAAAAGAAAAGGTTTGGTTTAAAACTACCAGTATTTTAAAAATAATTTCTAATTTTCCAATTTGTATCACATTGAATCATTTGACCTTTTCTCATCTCTATTTTTTCAAAGATTTGTCCCATCAGATGAAAAGAAGAAACAAGGCTGCCAACGAGAAAATGAAACTTTAATACAGAGAAGAAAAGATCAGATGCAACCAGGGGGCACTGCAATTAGTGTCACAGTTCCTTATAGAGTAGTAGACCAGCCCCTTAAACTTATGCCTCAAGACTGGTAAGATTATCACTATTTTTATGCAGTCATTAATTTTTTTTGTATAATTAAAATGCATCAAATTTTGCCCTGAGTTCTAAATAGAAACTGTCCCTGAAAACCATGTTAGTGTCTAAGTTGGTCATTAATAATGTTCACATTTTAGTAATACTGAAATAAATTTGAATTTTGGATAGCTAAACATTATTTTACTTCTAAAAAATGCTAATAACTTCTGGAAAATTTAGTAAAAATTCTTAACACTTTATTTGTTCTGGATCAGGTTTTAGAACAAAACTTGCAAATAGATTAGTGTTGTTTTGAAAAACTGTTGTTTCAGTTTTTTTATTTGGAGAATTCACATTTTTGGTAAGAAATGATAACTGAAGGTATTGTTAACTTTTATTGTAGGGACTGATTTGATAAAAATAACATCACCCTATGCTGGTTTAGCTCTTTTATTGCATTAAAATATTCTTTAATGAAATGTTAAGCTATTTATGACAAAATGTCTATTAGCTCAGATACATGGATTACCTTACATTATCTTATTAATCTAAGATAGAGTAAAACTACAGTATTGAGAGTGCATCTCTCTGTGACATAAGAGAATGCAACACATTAAAGCAGTAACTGAAACTTACCTTTGAGGTACTCATTAGTCTTCACACATCAGGAAGCCAGGGCATTGAGAATATTAGTATGTTAAAAATTTATTATAGAAGTAAAATATGAGAATGTCAGATACTAAGTTTAAAACTTGTAGGAAATAGGAAAGTTATTCCATATTAGTATTATATATGTTTGCTGTTATTTGCAGAAAATGATAATACAGTGTGTACAAGTGCCATCTCAGCGTGCTACAAAGTATTGCTTATATATACTAGCTAGGTCCCTAGTCCTTGGTATAATAACCAGGGAATATTTTCCTTACCTTTCTTATTTCCTTCTCTGTTAATTGTCCTTTCAAGAATTCACCAGGAGTAGTATTTATATTATCCTGCTTACATGCTAACCCTGTGAGACCCAGTAGGATCTAGGTGATGTCTCTCCAGCAAATTTCCTTTAGTTTGGCAGGTAACTTTGGCTTTCATGGCACAAGCTAGGTCACAAAATTAAGAGGCCATTTAATAGTGTATTGTATTAGCAAAGATTGTTTGGCAGTATGGGGCATATATTCCATGAAAGGGAGAAATTTTTAATTTAAGATTTTATTTTAAGAGATTTTGAGCAGGTTAGAATTTTAAGGTGTGGCATTTCGCAGTAACTTGAATTGTTGGTATAGGTCTTTTACTTGAATAGAAGGTAGCTCTGGTTTAATTCTCTGGATGTATAGAATCTTCATCTAATGCAGTGGTTATTAGAGTGTGATCTTGGACCTCTGGGCCTTCCTAAGACCATTTTTGGGTGTTGTAAGGTTAAATTTCCATAAAATACTAAAATGGCTGTTCTGATGATTTATCAGTTCTCACACAGGATCAGTAACATAACCCGGGTACCGGATCAGTCATTGCTCCCTTTATCCTTGTCACGACTCCTCTTCTTCCCTCTGTTTCTCTTCTGTGAATAGACTATCCATACACTTCTGTTTCCTCATCTGTAAAATGGGGTAATAGTAGTACTTAGCCTCATTGGAATCTTTGGAAGATCCAGTGTGTTAACATAAGAACTGTATAAAGTGCTTAGAACAGCACAGGCACATAGTGAATGTTCATAAGTTTTATTAATGTTTAACTGTTACTGTTTATTATGGATTTGTTTCCACCTCTTTAGTTCTAGGCTTAAATTGTTTATGACTGTTAACACTTATTATAATTTCTTAATTTAATTAAATATTTTGTGAAGTAATGAAATAAGAGGGTCTAGAAAAAGATTTGTTCTTTTTAGGAAAATAAAGTCTAACAGTTAGAAAAACAAGTTCTTTTAAAAAACGCTTATAGAATTCAGAGTGAATGAAATAGTTGTAAAACAATTGGAAAAATTTTTTAGAAGTCTGATGGTTTCTATACTTGGATTACTTTCCAAATACTCAGAACTCAAAAATAAGGCCTTGAGACTTCATAAAATGGTTGGTGAGTTATTATAATTTATGTTTTTAATTAAAGTAAAATATTTAAGATGTACTTGAATTAAATGATTTCCTTTTAAAACCAACTTTTTCAATTAATACGTCCACTAGTGTTCCCTATTGCATTGGAAAAGTGTGCGTCTTTAGTCTAGTAGAAGGGCAAATTAAAAGGTTAAAAAGATTGCATGTAAGGATTGTGTATGTAATTATGTTTAAAAGACTCAGGTGCAATGCATGAGAAGTATAGCAATCATTAAGGTATTTTAATGGTAACATTAAATGAAGAGTTGCGGTAATGGACTTTGCCTCACCGATGTATTGACAGGAGACTGTATCATATGAATAATTGAGGCTTTTCTTTACGGATTTACAGTAACCAAAGTTCATGTATGAGATACTGTCTCTGTACTCTAACCCTTCCCCTTTTCTGTTTATAGGGATCGGGTGGTAGCAGTTTTTGTGCAGGGTCCTGCATGGCAGTTCAAAGGCTGGCCATGGCTTTTGCCTGATGGATCACCAGTTGACATATTTGCTAAAAGTAAGAGTCTCTTTATTTTTAATTTTACTTAAATATTATTATATTTACCAATATAGAAATGATCTCGCTTTATGTAAGAGAAAGCCATCTGTGGCTCTGCATATATCATGTTTATATCAAAGGATTCCTATTAACATATTTTAATTTTTAAGCACTTTTAGATTTTTTTTGAACATTACTTTTTGTGTACTCATGTCTAAAAGTGAATTATCCCCTAAGTTAAATATAGTTACTTTAGGTGTTAAATTTCAGAAGCATTAATATTTTTGCACATCCATATATTTTTATGGCTATAAATTGATGGCTAGTTTTTAAATGGGTTGACTTTTGCTAACAGTAATGTGTAGCTGTAATTTGAAGTGCCATATGATTTTTACCAGCTGTTTCCACTGTCTGGAATGATTGTAGCATGATTGGCTTTTTCTTTTCATTCAGCTCTAAGTTCAAATATTCTCTCCTTTAGAGAATCTTTCTCTGGCCATACTGGAAAGCCATTACCTCCTCCCATTTACTCTTTAAGCCCTTCTCTCTTCATGATAGCAGTTGCTGCTGTTTGGTATTGTCTTATTTTTATATCTTTATTGTAAGTCTTCCTGATTATAATACCAGGTTCCTTAATGGGAGGAGACTTTTCTCCCTTGTTTGCTTTTATACTGTCAGCACAGAAGAGTGCCCGGCATGGAGGAAGCATTCAGTAGATACCATAAACCCACAGTGGATTTCATGTGGGTTCTATCTTTTGGTATTTTGGTACCTATTGATAGACCAAATACACATTAGTCTATTTTTTGCTGGCAGAGATATTCCACTTATTTAATTCAAGTACCCAACTAAGTAAGTAACCACAGTAAAGTTGTTTTTAAAAAACCATTCTCATGATACAGATATGTTTATTAGAAGTGACAGCTTCAGTTATGATGAATGTAGACTGTGCTGCTGTAAAATCCAGTGACTCTTAAAGCAACCTCAGGTTTTGTTAGTGGTATCCCCATTCATCCAAGATCGAAACTGCCAACCTTGAAAGTTTTAATCATATTCTTTCCTACCTTCATTCATTTTAAGTAATGATTCTAATATTACTAATATTATGATAGCTTTTTATGGTATTTCTGAAACTACAGAATTGATAAATAGAAAGTTAAAGATAGAGAATGAGAATTGGAATGAAAGTACAATGTCCATGAACACAAATGTTTTATCTAATTGCTTGCCTTGTCGAATAGTGTTGTAATAAAAAAAATGATCATGCCTTCAAGATGTAAATTCTGTCTAAATTTCATTTAGAATGTGATGATGTTGTAATTGTTTTGTTCAGATGGTTAGTCTTCTGAAATTTAGATAAAAACTCGAGACTTTTTTTATTTTTTTACAAAGTTATGATTTTCTTCCATGAATTATTCTTTATTTTTAATCTTCCCTCTTTAGTGAATCCTTTCTGTCAGCATTAAAAGTGAAAGTACTCTAGGAACATCCAGCTTTTGATTTTGGCTCAGGTCATGATGCCAGGGTTGTGGGATCCAGCCCCATGTTGGACTCCACACTGTGCGTGGAACCTGCTTGGAATATATTCTCTTTTCTCCCCCACCCATGTGTATGCTCTTTCTCTCAAATAAAAAGTAAATGAAAGTACCTTGCCCCTTCCATTTTAAAACAAAATAAAACCCTTTCACTTGACTTCAAAGATCGTTTTCTTTTTCTTTTATCAAATTTTGAAAGAATTTTCCCTACTAGCTCATTTTCTGTTCAGGTCTCAGTCCACTGTTTGGCTTTCTTGCTCTCCAATAAACTGTTCTCACCAAACTTACCAGTGACCCAGTTATTAGATACTTTTGACCTCCGTATCAGATTTAAAACTTTCTTTTTCCAAGGCATATTACTCTTTTTCAAAACAGTAACTCTCTAGCTACTTTTCCTCTGGCTTTCAACTACCTGGTAATGTTTTGTTTCTCTTTTCCTTTAATTATAGGTACTCTCTCCATGAGACATGACTCTCTCAAGGAGATCTGATAGCTTTCAATTATCATATATATTCCTCCCCTTACTCTAAGGTTTCTAGCTTTATATTCTGGGCCTGAATATTTCACTGCTTACCAGATAACTCTTCTGTGAGGTCTGTTGGTACATCAAACTCAGCCTGTTCCATATGGAATTGTCTTGTTCTCTCCCTCATTTCCAAACTGTTTCTTTCTTCCCTTTAGTTTTCTATAGAAATTTGCCTAAGCCAGAAACTTAGGACTATATTATCTTTCAGCTTTTAGTTCCTCTCCTTGTTTTTACTCTTGCGTTTTTTAGATTTTTACCCTTTGCCCCATATCACACTTAGAAAATGGTAATGTCTACATAGCATAGCAGAAAACTGAGGCTTTTATAACTGCATATAGCTTTTTAAAAATATTTTTTATGCTTGAGGTAACTGCATATATTTGTTGACTATGATTTCTAAGTCATGATTTCTTCAAATTTTTGCTGGTTATCATTGAGAAAAATATTTCATTAATCTGCTAATTATGTTGCCCCTTTGTCATCTGATGTGCCGTCTTTGTGCCTACTAAATATTATTCAAGAGCATATTGTCTATTTCTTTTGCTTCTTTGTTCCTGTAAAATAATGTTGACAAGATTCATGCAGTTGCAAAAAATGAATAATTCTGAATTGTTTGAATTATTTTGCTTCAGTATTCATTGTACTACCAGTTAGAAGACTAGCTTTCTTATGAAAGAGCTTCATTTATTCTATTTTTTTGCTGTGGTTTATAAACAAAGTCTTTTTCTGAATCATAAAGATGTTTTATATAGTGTCTTGGTGTAAGTTTGCTTTCCACTACTGCTTCATGCCAATAAATTATTTTTTATGATGAGAGTAACCTTATGCTTTCTTATTTGTGACTTAGACTTTTTGGACTCTAATGTTTCACCTTTAATTTTAAAAGTCTATTCTGGTGGAATAAATACTGTATAAACTAAATCTATTGAAAGTAAGGAGTGGGGGACTGTATGTTTTTATAGATTTATATCAATAATTTTTAAAAATATATAAGGGCGCCTGGGTGGGTTGGTCAGTTAATCATCCAACTCTTGATCTCCTCTCAGGTCATGATCTCACAGTTTGTGGGATCGAGCCCTGTGTCAAGCTCTTTGCCTCCCTTATTCTCTCTCCTTCTCTCTCTCTCAAAAAAGAGAGTGATTTAAAATAAATCATACTGAGAAAATTAGAAAAGTGAAACCTGTAAGGAAAATAGGAACTATTAAAACTGTTGAGTTCATTTAATTTAAAATTTTTCTAAATTAAATTTTTACACATAATTATTTTGAAAATGGGTTTTCTGAAACTGTAATGTAGAGCCCTTTTAATGAATCAGTTTAATTCCTAAATTGAATTAAATAAAAAATGAATGATGTGTTTGGTGAGGGGACCTTTAATTATAAAAACAAATAATTTAGAAATAATGTTTAAGTGTTTCTTTTTGTGAGCACATGATTCATTTTGGCTTTCCATCAAGAATCACGCCTCGATTCATTGTTAACATCTAAAGCTAGTAGGCCAGCAAGCAGTGTGGAACAAGCAATCCATAACATAGCTATCAAAAAATGAATGAAATCAATCATTTTTCTCTTTAGAGACCCCTATTACTAGATGATAATGATGATCATATCTTACATAGAAAAAAAGTACATGGAACAAAAGCTAAACATCTTACATGTGTACCTGTAAAACAAAAGCTTCACTGATGGTAATCTGATTGCAAATACAAAAATTAGGATATTCAACTGCATGATCAGTGAGAGACTCAAAGTCAGTATTTTATGGTCCATTTGTTAACCTTTTGTAGGATATACCAGCTGGGAGGATTTGCCCGCTAGAGTCTTATTTGTCCAACACCAGAATTAACTGTTAATAATATTTTCATCTTCTTGCTCTAAACTTTGTAGTGGCTTACTATCCCATTTGGAACAAATTCAGATTTTTTACCATAGCCAAAATTTTCAATATAGGACATTGCCTACAAAAGAAGTTATACTTGTTTATAGGGTGTATGCCAAGCTTGCTTTCATTTCAGAACCCTTTTACCAACTGTTCCCTGTGCCTGAAATCCTCTTCTTACTCTTTGCTAAACTCACTTTTTATATCATTTAATTATCTACTTTTAGGTAACCTTCTCAAGAGGCCTTCCAAATTTTTCTTTTTCCCTTTTCATCATTCCTAGTCCCATTAGTTCTCACTCCCTAATTATTTCTTGAATCGTTTTCTTGCTAGGCATCTATCTTCTCCATAGTTGAGAAAATCTCCTTCTTTAGATTGTTAAATTGTATCAGTAGTAGCCGCTAAACACTTTGCAGTGATTCTCCATATCTCTTAGATAAAAATCCAAACTCCTTGGGGCGCCTGGGTGGCTCTGTTGGTTAAGCATCCGACTTTGCCTCGGCACTTCGCCTCGGGTCATGATCTCGTGGTTTGTGATTTCAAGCCCCATGTTGCTCAGAGCCTGGAGCCTGCTTTGGATTCTGTGTCTCCTACTCTCTCTGACCCTCCCCTGCTCATGCTGTCTTTCTGTCTCTCGGAAATAAATAAAACATTAAACAAATAAACAAAAATCCAGACTCCTTAATATGGCCTGTGAGGCCAACATTGTTCTGAATCTGTGGTCTTACCTTTTAGTCATTCTTTACATTACTTTGTATGATGCTGTTCCGTTAAATTTCTTTAGTTCCTAGAAGAAACCATTTTCTCGTTGAGCATGTTCTTGTTAAACAAAAGACACTTTCTCTGTTTGCCTAATTCTTACTCAGCCTTTAGGTCTTAGATTAGACATCATTACCTTTGTAGGCCTTTCTGAACTCCATGGTCTGGGTAAGGTACTCTGTTCTGTTTCTGTGGCACACTACTATCTTTATCATTACTGTTTTTGAATAGTTTTTTTTCTTCTTCTTATGCTTCACAAGACCATATGCATTTTATTAGCTTCATAATATGCATTATTCCTCATTTCAGTCCCAGTGACCCAATCCTTGGTAGGTATTTGTTGAATGATTTTGAGGATACCACAGTGCTTACTAGAATCTGTTTCAAAGGTCTCTTTGGTTATAATGTAGCTTCATTTGGTTGAAGAAAGATTGAGTTTTTTAAAAAGTTTTTGTTTTATTCATTTCTTTGGTTAATGTCTGTATTGGATATTTTTATTCTTTTATAAAATATTTTTTAATTTTGATTGCAGTTTGAATTAAAAATATTATTTCCCCCCATATAGTTAAAGCCTTCCATCTCAAATATGATGAAGTTCGTCTAGATCCAAACGTTCAGAAATGGGATGTAACAGTATTAGAACTCAGCTATCACAAACGTCATTTGGATAGACCAGTTTTCTTACGGTTCTGGGAAACATTGGATAGGTAATTCTGATCCTAAAATGCACTTACTTTTGCTTTATTGTAGTAATTTTCCTTTCTCCTCGGGTAGATTTTAAGTTCCTTAAAATTGTGTACGTATCCCCTAGTTTCCTTTTTTGAACATTGCCTGATGCTGATCTCCAATAGATAATTAACAAATACCTCTGTTATACTGAATTTAGAAATAGATGGAGAAAGGGCTTATCACCTTGTTAGAAGGAACAGTAAACTCTGAGTCAGAAGACCTAGATTTTAGTACTGATTTTATGATCTGGCTGTAATGAACTGTGTGACCCTTTCTGAACCTTGTTTTCTATCTATCCCAGGGCCTTGGATTAAGTGATTCCCTAACAGGATTTTCTTTGGTTTTGTTTTGTTTTTTTGCCAGCATCAATAGGTCTCTGACTGGATTTGAGTTATGGGTAGCTTGTGAAAGGAATTCAGGTTTTGAATTTATTTTAATTACTGTTATAAACAGAATTCTTAAAGTCCTTTTAAAATACTAGTTTTGTGATTAGAAAATTTAAGAACAGCATTATGTTCACAATACCACTGAATTTGTTCTAGTGGTGCTCTTTAAAATCTGTCACTTTCTTGGTATAAGCCTTTTGCTGAATATTAAGGTTTTCTAAAGTCAGAGGTGATTGAGGTAACCCAGTGATTATAACTGATAGTATATTAAAGAAAAAGATTTATCATTCTAGCCAGAAGCTCTGATTATAGAATTTAATAAGAGGAGTGTTTCTTCTGGCTTTAGAAGTTCTTATTCTGTATTCCCAAAGCATAGTTATCAGGTTTCCAGTTTTTAGAAAACAGAACTTCCTGTTCACTTTTGAATTTTAAGTTTAAAAAAAAATGTCAACTTATTTTTACATTTCTAAAAATTCTAGAATTCCTATAATTGTTATAACCTATTATAATATTATTTTTCAGGTACATGGTAAAGCATAAATCCCACTTGAGATTCTGAATTTTACTTGGTTTCCCCTTTTCTGGAGATCTGGATTAAGAAGCATGGATATGCCTTGACCTAAAGACTGAGACTCAAGCTTTATGAATTTATCAAGAACTTAAAAATGAAGAGGTCACAGATTCATCTTTTATAAGACCTTAATTCGATGCTTTATGCTTCAAAGGGATGATGCTTGTCATCCATATAAGCAAACTTTTTGGCTTACAACTATTTTTTTAATATTAGCCTTCTAGTCTGTAATGGAAATTGTATATTTTGATAGAAGTTTTTTCTCCATTGGTTAAATTAGCATTACTTAAAATTTGTTTCTTTAGAAAATAAATACAGGTTATAAATGTGTGTATATTTAGAGGTTATGAGGCTCTCTAAGCCATCTTGCTTCTGATTTTTCATTGCTCTCTAATTCTTTCATTGAAAATTCTATGCTATGAGTGGTATTAAATTTTAGTCTCTGGAACTTCCAAAACTAGCAAAGGGATGTGACTATTTTGAATGAATCAGAATGTCAACCTATATGTAAACTATTCCTATACTTATTCTTTATTTAAAAAAGAATAATGAAAAATCAAGAACAATTCTTCAGCTTTGGTTGAACTGTTCAGCCTTTTCAAGACTTCTTTACTTATAATGAATACATTTAATGAATGTACATTCTTCTCACTGACTTTGGTGATTTTAAAACTTAGAATGATATATTTCTATCTGTGCTATCTTTCCACTTGAAAAATCTCAAGAGACAGATTAAAAGCCTGATAGGCTGTAGTACTTTTTATTTTGGGAGCCAGAGTATGTTTGGGGGAAGAAAATGTATTAGTCCTACTACAATGTAACTTTAACTTCCTTATCTTTCTCATAAGTTCACCTTTGAATCTTACTTTATATGTGTGGTATAGGTTTTGAGTCTTCTATTTCTAGGCATGTTGATCTTGGAGTTCTTATCTTCCATTATCCCTAAATATTGATAACTCTCCCAGACACCAAAGAACACATTTGCTTAATTAAGTGTCTGAACAGAAACAAGATGAAAACACTGGTATTTTTATGTGCGTATTCAATATCGTATAAAATATAAAACCTATATTTTAACTTAGTAAAATATTTTACTACTTCTCTAGAGTGTTGCATCCAAGGTACAATGAATGAACATTTTCCTTGAGTCTTGATTTTGCCTTTTATTACTTAAAAGGAACTGGAACCTCTACTCCCCTAAAGAGTTTTTGCCATTAGAATCGTTGCTGATCATTCATCTTGTGTCATTTTTTTCCCCCATTTTTTCCTCCAGTGATCTCTCTTAGGTTAACATTTTTTTAGTAAACATTTAGCTCCTTCTTATGTTATGCTGACATTACCTATCTTCATTTTGGAATTTAATGCTGTCATAAAAATGAGAAGCACTTATTATTTATTTTTAAAGTAATCACAAAAGTCCATACCAATAGTGAATAGAAAAAAGTATTTATTCATATGGAATTCACTGTGTTCTTAAGAAAAGCAGTCAGCATTTTAAATTATTAGATTATAGGATATTTATAAGGCTTGAACAGATTCTACCCCTTCCTTTCTGGGCATCCTCTCTTCTTGAAAACGAAAGAACTCAAATTTGTTCACTTTAGAATTTCTCATCATACACTTTTCAGAATAAATTAATGTATAAACTTTCTCCATGATGAAATCGTCAAGGACTAGAATCTGTACTATTTTACTGTAAGATTACTTGTTAAGACTACTACAAGTGGACAAGAACTACCTTTCTATAAAAATTTTTAGTATTTATACTTATGTCATATATGAAATTTACTTGATACAGAGTGTGGTTAAAATTGGGAACATCTACTTTAAACAGGGTTTATTTTTCTATCTTGAATTTGCCTTATGTATATTCAAAGGCTTCTGGAAATACTGTAAAGGAACATTAGGAAAAGTACAAATATGCTATGCTATATGTATTTTAAAATCAAACCCTTAGTATGTACTTTTTCTTTTTTCAGCAGTTCAGTCCCTTATTTAGGTCCATGTAATTAATGTAATAGTCATTAATTCCAAAAGCAATTTTTTTCAGCCAATCATTATTCGTTATGACTCCAAGTCATACAGCAGCACCTATCACTGTGCCTTGCACAGAGTAGCCATTCAGTAAATATTTATATGCATGAATTAATGATCTTTTCAGTGTGACTGATTTATTACAAAAAGTACTTTGGCTAGGTCTTGGAGTTTGGAAATACAGAATTACAGGGAAGGAAGAGGTATACACAGATATTTTAACGGCAATGAGGTATACATTAATGACCCTGATTTACCTATAACTTACTGTTAACTAAAGACACCCTTGCTTGTCCCATTGGTAAAAGGAAACTCCCTTTCTTTATTCATAGGACACATCTTCTGAGTCAGGTAACATTAAGAAGCTTGTAGGTTTCAGTCAATAATTCTTCAACCTTGACTGCACATTAGAATCATTTGGGGGACGTTTTAAATATATTATTGACTGATTCCTGATTCTGATTTAATTTGTACTGAGACCTGATCATCAGTATTTTTAAAAAGTTCTTTAGGTAATTTCATATTCAGAAAGGATTGAGAATCACTGATTTAATTTGTTGTTGAAATCAATTCCAGTATTAAATGTCGTGTTTCGTCCTTCTCCTGCCCTTCCTCCCTCCCTCCCTCCCTCCCTTCCTCCCTCCCTTCCTCCTTTCTCTCTCTCTGCCTCTCTCACCTTTTTCCTCCCTCTTTTCCTTCCTTCGTTCTTTGTTTCTTGCTTTTATTTTTCCTTTTGGTGGCCACCCTTTGCACGAGACTGACTCCCCTATTGATGGTATTGGCCTATAGTTACACATAACAAATCCATGTCTTATTTATTTAATATAGGAGTATTTTGCTGTTTAATATTTAAACAATGTTTAATATATTTCATTATAAACTAGTATTATAGTTTATGAGTTGTTTCCCATGTGTCCTTATCCTTTACTTTTTTTTTTTTTAACAGCAGCATGACAACAATCCATAAAGAAATAACGAGTGCATAATGAGGAAAATTTCTTAATAATTTTTAAGGTAGAAGAAGGTAAAGTAATAATTTCTTATCTGCCATGCAGAATTAGAGTTCGCTTATGAAAGGAAAGAGGCATACTTTTTAATTGGTCTGCACAGAAAAGTAAAAGTAAATTATTCATTTACATAAAATTCATTATCAGACATTGAAAGAAATATTTTTCCCAATAAAATATTTTGTGACTCCTAACAAAGTTAAAGCGATACATTGTTCTTTTTTGGAGGGTGGGGAGGGAGTCTTTAGTTGCCATATTTCTTACTGTATAACAGTTCCATTTTATTGGTATTAACAATAGAGATGATGATAGGATATACATTATGTGGCCAGAAATAAATGCCACTTTGTCAGATAACAATTATCTTAGCTTTAGTTGTTTAACTAATTAGTTTATAAAACTTTGAGACCAACAGTGTATTTTATAAATATTATAAAAGCTGATCAAAATTAAAACATTGAAAATAAATTTGATTACATGAGCCTTAATATTACTTGAATGAATTTTTATTCACTTGGATTTGATATTCAACTGGTTACCCTAACCATAGTAAATTAACTTCAGAAATAAAAAAGGAAAAATAACTGAATTGGACTTAAATTAAGAACTGGATTAGGAATTTTGAAATGTCATGTCCTGTATGTTCTGTCCTGTCCGTTGCCACTTTGGCTGTATAGTGATGCCAGCATGGTTTCTGTATCAATATGTTGGAATAATAACCGAGGAAAAAATTGGGAATGTATAATAGGTGTATAAAAATCGTATTTAGTAAATGCATAAAAAGCAATAATACTTTCAGGTCATTGATCTGTTTGGGCTTAACTGGATTATTTTAGGTAGTGTTTATTAGAATATCTTGGGAGTTATAAATATATGCCATTTAAATGAGTAAAACTAGATCAATTTTATTGCCAAAATTCAAAAAGTGGAGTGATACTATTGTCAAATTTCAGGAAGTGATGTATCTCTCTGAGAATTTTGTTTGCTACTGAATTCCATTTTTATTCACTTTAAGTTTACTAAAAGCTACTTCAACTCCAAGTTTGGTTATATAGTGCTTTATATATAATGTAGTTCATTTACATGGTGTAGGCACTATAAATGATTGGTTAGCCACCAGTTTGTATATTTCTCATGCAAAGTGGTTCTTCAGTGGAACTTAAATCTGGGCCATGTGACCTCATTAAATGTTCTACTCACTCTTAGTCCATTTCAGTGGAATTTTAAGTTTCAACTTGTAAATAAGTCTTGGATATATTCCCATCCCGCTCTACCCTAGTCTTCATCCTTCTAACCAAAAACTCACATTCAGCAAATTATACAGAAACTGTATTGTGGTGGAGGATATGAATGACAGTCTTTCCAAAACATAGTATTTCAGGCATATTATTTCTGCTTTGAAAATAAATGCAGTGTAAGTTTTCACTTCGAAAACTAAGGAGTTAAGTACATTTACAGCCTTCTGTTAATGAGTTCAATAATGTAGAGAATCATAGTTCTTCCTAAAAGTAACAGGCTACATGCTGTAGTGTGCTTAGTTTGGTTATGGTCCAAACTTACCAAGTCCTTATTGTTAGAATGCAATTTACCAACATACATTCTTAATTCTGTTATCTTTCAGCAGTTTGGGCACCCTGATTTTAATATTTTGTAGTTTGAAAACAAACTATTCTGCATATAATCAAATCATTAACAGCATCATAGTATTATTGGTGGTGCCAGTAATAATGTTTAACTCTTTTGCAACAAAATTTCTTTAATGAAGTGTTTAATGGGCCCTATTCAGACTTAATTTCCATTCAATTCATAAGTGCCTACTAAATATTTTATTCTACTCTTCTGTTCATTTGATCTTCTGCTTTTAGGCAGATGAGCATTCACATAACTAAAATAGATATAGCAAGAGCTGTAAATGCTGTTGGATTTTTTTAAGGCTCAAAGGTGCTAGTATATAACGGCACATTGCCAAGTAAGCCTTTTTTTCTTCTCATTTCCTAAAACAGTTTCCGTTTATATTTAATTGTGTAGTGATCAGTGTTTATGATGGGTTGGAAGACATCTTCTTAATTTTCTTCAGTGACCGTTTAAAAAAAAAGCAGCTCTAGAGAACGCTATGTTGTCGAGTCTGTTGTAAGTATTTATAGATACTTCGTACACAACTATAGTGTATAATTTACCATCTTCCAGAGAACGCTGATTTATATTACACAACTAATGTAAATAAGGCCCAGGCCATATAAAACAAAGGACATCAGAGATTTAGTTAATCACATTTGAATATTTTATTGGGCTGTGATTCATTTGCCAAAAAATCCAGCATTGGCTGTATACTGATAAAATATGATGATGTATACTCAAAGATCTTGCCTTCATGGAGTTTACCATGTTAAAAATGTAAATATGGTAATGGCATCAATTTCTCCTGTTAAAATTGTTTATAAGTTTTTCTTTAAAGTGGAATAGTTTGAAATTTTTTCAAGTTGGTGTGTGTAATGGTTGGGGAGAATCAAATGGGCTTGCTCATGGCTTATTCAATTATTTTAGCCCAATTGGACATAACTAATGTTTAGGGTCATTTTGACTGTAAAGCAGTTTTAAAGTATTTGTATTCTTAGCTACATGTTTTTATTTCATAATGCACCATTGAGTACAAAAAAGGAAGTGTAAGGGTTACTGATGATGGGGTGTTAATGTAGTTTAAGGAAGTTGATGTAGGAATTTGAGGAGAAAAGAAATTATACAGGAACTCCAACTCCATGGGAAAAAATAAGTAGGATTTGGGCAGTGATGTATCTTTTGGGGGGATTGGTCATAAATTTAAATGAAACTAGGCAAAGCTGTGGTGTGATTTTTCTCCAGCAGCATTTAGCTACTTGTTGGCAGGTGTAGGAAAAGCAAATTTTTAACTTTTAATAGAAGTAGAAACAGACCAGGGAGGTGAAGATATTTACAAAGGTGATGATTATAGTACTAGAACATGGAATCTAAGCTCTTCAAGGGATACATGGTAGAGAGGAAGTGGTGGATTATATGAAAGTGGCACTGACTGAAAAAACTTCAGTGAAATGAAGCTAAAAGTGAGCCCAAAAGATGGGAAGGTGAGAAGATTGGATCTGTGAAATCAGGATTTCGGATATCATGTGATATTGATGAGGAAAAGTCAAAACCTTGGAAGTGACTGAGATAGGAGAAGGGCTCTTTGAAGTGGACAAAGATCAGAGGCCATGGTTACTCATGTGAGTGTTGAAATAACAAAACTACAAGAAATAAAGGTGGCAGGGAAGATTAGCCACAGGCTAGTGACTCAGCTTGATGGCAACAGGAAAATTCTAACTAGATCGCATGAGCTTTAAAGGATCCATGCTCAAAAATCTTCAGCTTTGTATCAGGAGATCAGTGGATGTACATTTAGATATTTTAAGATTTTTTTTAAAGGTATAATCATTTCAGTGACCCCCCCACCCCCAACGTGCTTTTTTAAATAAAATTCTGGGGGCGACTGGGTGGCTTAGTCGGTTGAGCGTCCGACTTTCGCTTGGGTCATGATCTCGCGGTTCGTGGGTTCAAGCCCCGCGTCGGGCTCTGTGCCGACTGCCAGCTCAGAGCCTGGAGCCTATTTCAGAGTCTATGTCTCCCTCTCTCTCTGACCCTCCCCTGCTCACGCTGTTTCTCTCTCTCTCTCTCCTAGAAATAAATAAAAATATTTAAAAAAAAATAAAATTCTGTACTTTTTCCATTAGGACAGATTATGAGGGCTTTTACTATAATTGTAAATTTTTTGTGACAACAGCCTTTCTATCTTCTCTGAGTCTTTTCTCCAGTTTGCTCCCACATCAGGCTAGTTCTTGTATTCTTTGCCTCATCTGTAGCTCAGTGATAAACTGGAAGCGGGTAAAAGTCTGTTGGAAGACCTGAGCACTGTTCTGTTCTGAGGTTTTATAATGAGCCCAAACGGAGGTCTCTCCTATTTGTATGTGCATCTCATTACTAAGGGAGAACACCATGAATGGTTCCCAGAGTGGGTACGGGGTACTGGAAAAAAGGAATACTTGAAAATATGGGATATTGGGAAGGGTTTTTCATGGACTTTTCTGTGGACATTTTATTT